AAAAGTGATGAAGTACTGAAAACCTCCTCTGGCTGGTATGTTCAGTGGTCCACATACATCAGTATGTATGAGTGCCAAAAGATCATTAGCCCTTTCACCTTTTCCTGTGAATGGGGACTTTGTCATCTTTCCAATTAAACAAGATCTGCATGTCTCATATGATTCATAATCAAAAGAGTCCAAGAGTCCATCTTTATGGAGTTTGGAAATGCGTTTCTCATTTATGTGGCCTAATCGACAGTGCCAAAGGTAAGTTGGATTCAACTCATTAGGTTTCAACCTTTTAGTATTAATGTTATAAATTGGCATTTCAAGATCAAGGACATATAGTCCATTATTCATTTTTGCAGTAGCATAGAATATATCATTCAAATAAATGGAGCAACAATTGTTCCTTATTATGAATGAAAAACCAAACTTGTCCAAACAAGAAACGGAAATAATATTCCTGCTAATTGCAGGTACATAATAACAGTTCTCTAACTGAATTATTAAACCACTAGGTAAAGTTAAAACATAAGTTCCTACAGCTAAAGCAGCAACCTTTGCTCCATTGCCAACTCGTAGGTCAACTTCACCTTTTGCCAAATTTCTACTCCTTTTTAGCCCCTGCACATTAGTACAAATGTGAGAACCGCATCCAGTATCTAATACCCATGATGCAGAAGTAGATAAATTAATTTCAATAACAAAAATACCTGAATTTGAAGTCTCTACTCCATTATTCTTATCTTCCAGGTACTTTGGGCAATTTCTCTTCCAATGTCCGGTCTTACCGCAATGGAAGCAAGTGCCCTCCTTTGCTATTCCTCCACTAGGCTTCAAAACAGGAGGAGTGGGTTTGGGTTTGGCAACTTCCTTGCCTTTCCCTCTACCACCCTGTTTGATGGGCCTCTTGTTCTGTTTCTTTCCATTACTGACCATCAGAATGGATTTCCCTTTTGTCTTCATATTCTGCTCAGCAGTTCTCAACATGCCTAGCAGTTCTGGAAGACTTTTGTCCAAGTCATTCATATTGAAATTCAGGACAAACTGACTGAAGCTCTCTGGCAACGATTGCAAGATCAGATCAATCGCAAGTTCCTTTCCAAGGGGAAACCCTAATCTGTCAAGGTTCTCCACATACCCAATCATCTTGAGTACATGGGGACTTACAGGGGCTCCCTCAGCTAACTTGCTGTTAAAAAGGGACTTTGAAACCTGAAACCTCTCATTTCTTGCTTGCTCTTGGTAAAGCGTTTTCAGATGTCCGATCATATCGAACGCAGACATGTTCTCGTGTTGCTTTTGCAACTCAGAGTTCATGGTAGCAAGCATGAGGCAAGCGGTTTCATTGGCATCATCGAAATGCTTCTTATAAGCATCTCTTTCTGCCTTTGGTGCAGAACTAGGAGGTTCCTCCTCAGGAACTGGTGTCTCCAAGACATACAGCTTCTTATCGTGCTTGAGGACAATCCTCAGATTACGGTGCCAATCCAGGAAATTTGTCCCAGACAATTTTTCCTTATCTAGGATGGATCGCAAAATATTGTTCGATGTGTTTGTTGTCATGATAATCTACAAGAGAAATATGAAAATATAAGTATCATTAAAACAACATATTTAATTAGGCCTTTAATCAAATATGCTCCCACTATTTTATTCAAAACAAATGACCCTCATCATTTGATTCGGAAAATCCCGTTGGAAGACTTTCTAGTGGGTCGAGATCCATGTTTCACTTTGTTTTAAGTCAGCGTTAGGCTGATTACACAAAACTAAGTTATTTAGGTAGGAACTCCTTCCAATTGTATCTCATACAACTCTCGAATATTTTCAATTGGGTGAATAACTCCTTATTCTGATCCATCACATGAATCATTCCCAATTCTTGCTTCTAAACATATATAATCTTATTATAATTTGTTTAGTTAAGTTTGACCCATTGTTTTAGCAATTGGATATTACAATTATCCCATCACACCTTACTAATATAGAACATGCACCTCGCGTAGGCGAAACCTACAATGCTCGATACTAGTCTTGATGAGTGCTAAAAATTGGAAAGCATAAACTTAATATTTAATTTTGAGGGAATTTGTTATTAGTTTGATCTCACCGGCTTAACATGCAAAACGTCTCTCACATGCATCAACATACAATTACATGCATCAACATACATATAAAAAGATACAATTATGGCCCCTAACGCAATTGTTCTCTCAAGCCAATGAGAGAACCTAAGCTAACCTAATAACGACCTAAGCTTCTCCAAGCATGATCTCCAAGGTTATCCTCCTTTAATATTGAATACTTCCTTTTTTTTTTTTTAACATAATATTACATTACATATAAGAAAACTCGTTTTACATACGAGGGAGTGAGATGAGAAAAGAAGTTACATAAAGAGATTGAGAGAGAGGCACGACACGCAGGCCGTATTCAAAAATCCCAAAACAATAATAAAGGAAAAACTAAGGCCATAACTGATCACCACAAATAAATAATAATAAACACACTTTTATTATTAGTTTAAAATTCCGATAATTAAATAAACTAAATTAAATTTCGGCTGATTGATCACACTTTGCAGACTTAGCCGGGGGTTCCGCTGACCGGTCAGCGGACGGTGGTTCCGCTGACCGTTCAGCGGACGGGGGTCAAGGGGGCAGCGCCTCCTTGCGGGGTCGTCAGGGGCAGCGCCCCGGCGAAAAATTTTATGAACACTTCATTGTATTTCACGTCGTTTCCTGCACAACTTTTGTGCATTTACAACCCCAACCGGAAAAGTCTGCGGCAATACAACACTTGTACTGCCATTAATCCTAATGCAACAATTTCATGCCGTCAAACACAACTCGATTGATAACTCAATATGATAGATCAATATGTCATTGCTTCACCATACTAATGTCGGATTCCGAAGCGAATGAAAGTGATGATCTTTCAAAAGAATTACAATCCTTATGTGATTGAATGGATGAAATCAAAACAGTATATCCCATATACCATCTTTGCATCAGAATTTCTTATATCTTATATAAAAGTGATCGATCTAATTGTGTAACCTATGGATGATCAATGTATCGCACAACTTCACCATACTAATGTCGGATTCCGAAGCATAATCAACATCAATCATCCAAATCGTACACAACAGATGCCAAATTTAATTAATCGTTTATTGTTAAATTCATTCTGTGTTTTAATCGAATCAAATACAGAAAAGACGGAAATTTAACAGCTATCAGATCCATGGTTTCGTAAGTGGCTCTGATACCACTGAAGGAAAATTGCGATCTAAACGCAGCGGAAAACAAAAATTTTCCTTTAGTGATCCTCACGAATGAGCATGGTCAGTGATAGAATCGTTACCTCTTTGTGGCGATTCAGATCTTTGATGCAGCGATCACAAGCGTTGATGAAGTGCAACGCCTCTACTCAGTCCACACGAACAGCTTCCGGTCACAGTGCTAGCTGCTTACGAACGGAATTATTTGAGTGAGAAAAGAGAATCAAAAACGAAATTGCATCAAGTGAAACTTCATCACAAGGGTTCCTTTTATAGACTCTCTTGTGGGCTGCGGGCTAAAACCCTAATTCACATGATCCATAATAATATTATATATATTATTATAATAACTATTATTATAATAAATATATTTATTTTATTATTATTTTATAACCATTATAAAATAACAATAATTATTATTATATTATCCGAATTTCTATTTTTCACTTAAGTGCACCGTACCTTACGGTGTTCCTTTGATTTCTCTATTTCTCATCAAACTGTCCTTATGTGTGTGACCCTGTAGGATTTCGTAACGTTGGTAATTATATTAAATTATATATATTTAACATAATAAACAGTAAGCGGTATCTAGCAACACATCACTGCTACCCAAGTCACGAAAATGTCATGTGATCTGACAAAACCTTTTTCGTGATAATATATGTTTGTACAATTACCCTTTTGCCCCTATGTCTATATTGAACACAAGGCATACACTGTGTCATCCTTGTCCAGTTCAATATTGGGCCCTTAGACATTTCTCCTGTTATGCAGGATTGGCAAATTCCATCTAGGACACTCATGTCCCTCAGCATGCTTCGTGGAGTGCCCATCAACTGTCTTTATGATCATCCAGTTACGGATAATGTTTGATCAGCAATAAAGCACCCGACTCTACATCTAGGGTCCATAGTGGTTTCAGGTCGAAGGGTGGTAATACACCATTATCACCATGAGAATAACTTATGACACTTTGCATAACATACTATGTAGTATTCTCATAGCGGGTCAATCCGGTATAAATATTACTCCTAATATTTATACCTATGTCAAGACTTGATAACTCTTTATCCATGATCCATGAGATGTGATCATCAGTCTATCTTCATAATAGTCTCAATGCTTTTAATGTTATCCCACTTTGCAATAAAGCTTGACTACGGATATTTTAAGAATAATGTCTTTATGTTTAATGGGATCTCATGATTAAGTCACACTTAACATTTCATTAAACAGACTAACTATTCTAGGGACTTTATTATTCTGAAAGACAAACATAATAAAGAAATGCCTTTTATTATTAAACGAATAATCTGATACAAGTACCAAAAAGTATTGGCCTCTAGGGCTTACACCAACATCAAGTACATTCAAATCTATAATCAAATAGTATCTTGATTATTAGAGATAAATAAACTGACAAACCTAATCATAGAGAGATTTTCTCAACAGAATACAATTCAAATCTAGAAGTACTCCATTAGATAGTCATAAACAACCATTGATAGTCTCAGGCTGCCAACCATAAGGGAAGTGCATAATTGTTTCTAGGAGTACTCCATTAAAATAGGAACCTACTTGAAAATGTAACAAAATCATGACGAGAATAATTTAAACAGGCATAAATTATAAATTTACATGTAGAATTCAAGTTTTAATTCAGCTATAATGGTTTCAGAATGAGCTCAAAAGAAATACAAAAATTTGGAGCTCAGACGAATAAAAGCTAATCATTTTGACTTAGTTCAAGCCTACTACATATTGAAGTTTGAAGTGATGATGGATTAGAGGAAACCCGATATCCTTCAACAAAAAGTTTCAGTTTTTCTATTTCACCAATAGCTGAAAGCCACTCAGTAAGAATCTCCATGGTTACATAGTCAGGACTGCAAGCATCTTCCACCATCCTGTCCATTAGTTCAAATGCCTCGGGCAGCATTCTCTTATCCCGAACCCCCTTCAGAATAGCATTATATGTGGTTGTATTAGGGCGAACCCCCTTTACTTTCATGTCATTCATCAAAGAAACAGCTTTTTCAACGTCGTTATTTTTGCAAAGAGCGTCTATTAAAATGTTGTATATCACAATGTTAGGAGGAACCGTTGATACAGAACACATTTCCTCGAAAATCTTCATGGCCTCATCAATATTCTTCTTTAAACAATATGCATGTATAACTGCCCCATATGTGACAACAGAGGGCTTAAGACCTTCTTTAATCATCTTTTTCATCATCTTAGACGCAGTTGCGAAATCTCCAGCTTTGCCAAGGTAAGAAACCAAAGTGTTATAGGTGACGGTATCGGGCTTAACTCCAGTTTCTTCCATTTCGTTGAGCATTTCATAAACTCGTTCCAGCTTCTTCTTTTTGCAGAATCCACTGATGAGAACATTGTAACAAGCTCTATCAAGACGAAACCCGGCCCGTTTCAACTGTGACACAACAACACTGGCATCATCCATCCTACCAGCAATGGTTAAACCAGATATCAAACTATAGTAAACAATTGCATCCGGTGAGCATCCAGAACTCAACATCTCATCAAAATATTGCATGGCTTTATCAATATTGTTCACACCACAGAAGGCAGATATCAGCACAGTGTAAGTAACAGCATTTCCTTTCAGGCCCTTGCCTTTCATCTCGTTGAAAAACTCAACTGCACTATAGACTCTTCGGACTTTGCACATACCGTCAACCAATGTATTGAGGGTGACCACATTTGGCTGTACTTGTTCCTCATTCATCAGATTGAATAGCTGGCGTGCTTTATCAATGTTGCCAGCTTTGCAGAACCCATCAATCAAGCAATTATATGTAACAGTATTTGGCATATTTTTCTTCTCAGTTTTCATCTCTTCCAACAAACTCAAACCGTCTTCTTCCCTCCCAACTTTACAAAGTCCATTAATCAGATTATTATACAAGACCACATCAGGTTCAACACCAATCCGATTCTTTCCTCCTTTACATCTCAATTTATCAAACACCTGCAGTGCCTCATCAATCCTCCTACTCTTGCACAAATGATTAATAAGAATCCCATAGGTTATGACACTAGGATGTATTTTCCTTTCTTCCATCTCTGCCAACAGTCTATTCATCTTCGGAATATCTCTTTCCCTTCCAAGCCCCGATAACAAGGCATTGCAAGATGCAGCTTCAACTGTACCACCCAATTTCATCACAGCATGCAAAAGTTCCCATGCAGCAGAGTTCTTCCATTTCCCACACAGCTTGGATATCATCTGAGTAAGCTTAAACGTATCCGGGAAAACTCCACACTCACCAAGCTTAGTAACCAACCCCACAATTTCCTCATCAGCAAAGCCTTTTCCAGGGCGGTCCCTCTTCACCAACTCACCAAAAACAACTTCACCAACGAAATGATCAGGAGGAAACACAGAATCCGGTTCAAGCATTTGATCGAGCACGTGGCGGGCATCATCAGTACGACCCGATTTGAGCAAACCCATCAACAACTCTTTACAAATTCGCCTACTTTTCAAAGATGGGTCTAGCTCGTTGAAGTGAAGAAGCGATTCATCCAAAGTTCGGGACTTTTCTAAGCACTGCATAAGAAAAATGGACACTAATTCACCATAAAAATTGACACTAATTCACCATAAAAATTGACACTAATATAAGTATTCAAATAACAAAAAAGAAAAGCTTTGATGTAAATCAATGCATACTCCTCTCAGCGGACGATTGACCGGTTGCGATTGAGAGTGAGAAGAGTCAGATTCAAGGTCGGACTCATCACTGGAAACATAAGTGAAACTTCGTTGGTGTAAAAATGGAAGAGCGAAGGTTTTGTGCCTGAGAGCTGCGCCATATCTGAAGATGGCGGAGTAATGTAGTAGTGGCCTTCGCATCAGTAGTGGCATTGTGATTGTGAGATGTATTAGATTGAATGGTGGAAGTGATGAAGTTTGTTAAGAGGACATTGTTGTGTTGGCGAGTTTTCAAATGATGAAGGAAGAAGAACTACAACACGGTAGATTCACATTAGCGAGTGAGCTTTGGAAGTAAGGTTGATGTGAATGTAAGATATGGCCATGCGGGTGCGATTTGAATAACCAGTAGTAAAACAAAATGAATTGAAGCTTGCGAAGCCAGAAGGGCATAGACGTAAATTACAGAACATCTAATATTCTTGTATGCTAGATGATTATTAGATTGAAAAGACAATGCATGAATACGGGTCAAAAGGTGGGCACAAAGTATTTTATTTAAATTTTTTGATTAATTGATTAAAAATACTTAATGAATAACACTAATAATTAATTTATTAATTAAAAAAATATTAAATTAATTATTCTAGTCAATATTGTGACTCATTAAAAATACTTTTTTTCTGATCATCACTATTACGTCAGCAAAATTGAAGATGAAACCTATTAAATCCCAAGTGATGTAAAGTTTAAGAATTAAAAAATTAATTTTTAAAATGGAATGAATAAAAATTAAAAATCATCAAAGTATGGAAACAAAAAATGCATTTAAGCCTAAAAAATATAATTATCTTCCAAAAAGTATATTTCAATATAGTCACAAAATTGATGTATTTGTTTGTTATATATATATACACTAGTAGAAGACCCGTGCGGACGCACGGGTAAGTTCATTAATATCTTAGATGATTCAATAAGACTTTAATGTTATTGATGTATAATTCTTATTATAAACTTACTAACATTTACAAATATGTAGTATATCACCAACAGAGAAAATTCAATACGACTAATAACTGCAAATATTGACAGATATGACTGATAATTACAAATATTTCCTTGAATATTTCTTATATATTACATATTTTCTTAATTTGTTTACTCATGTGCCGGATATCTCCTAAGAACAAGAATTTGCATTCTTTTATAACAAAGCAAAAGCTACAAATAATTTCAATACTAAATTATTCAATTGATTTTATAGTATATTTGTGTCATAGTTTATCGCTATAATTTTAGTTTATCTCTAGCTGACAATGGAGCAAAAGTGGGGTCAATCTTCTGAACATAATCTCAGACGCGCAATTTTCCTAAAATATAATAAAAATGATATTAACAAAATTAAATTATTCAATCAAAAAAATAATTATTTTTAAAAGATATAATAAATTAGTTCCTATAATTCATTGATATATATATATATATATATATATATATATATATATATATATATATATATATATATATATATATATATATATATATATATATATATATATTTAAATCAACAATATATTATTTTATTTAAAAATCTATAAGTAAAATAATAAATTATTTTATATTATTATAAATAATATTATAAAAAAAGGAGTTACTATTTTTTTTCTTACATTGATAAGAGAAAGAAACTATTGAAGACGAGATATATACAAAATTTATTATTATTTAAAGAGTGTTGCTAACCAGTGCTCTCAGGGCACTATGCTCTTAGGGCAATATTTAAACATTCCATATTAAAAAATTATTCTTTAAAAAATTCAAACACTTTAATTTCCAATACACATTATTACACATCATTGCACATACTTTTATAAAAACTTACTATTTAAAGTTTTAAAAGTGTCCTGAGAGCACTCGTTAGCATTTCCGTATATTTTATTATAACATTTTTTTTAGCTCATCTCATTCTTAAATACTGTATATTTTTATCTTAATTTTGTTCACAATTTTTAATTACCTACTCCTTTTGCACAAATATTTGTATAAAAATGAACGTAAGATAAAAATAAATTTTCTCTCTCTTGTCTAATAACCAGCTTCACATAATTCTAATTAAAAACAAATTTAAATTTATAATACATTTAATTTTGTTTTCTTTTTATTGATTGTTTCTAACAATATAGATATAAGTGTGTTCTTATAAATATTTTTTCTCATTTTAAATTATCATTTTTAGTAGAGTAGTAAACTTTGTTTAACGTCCTTACCAAGTGTTTTTTTTAAACTCTTCTCTATTTTCTTCTAAATTATTTAGACATATCATATTTATAAAGGCAAAATATCATTTTTGGTCCCTTAACTATACCTCGGAGTTTATTTTGGTCTCTTAACTTTAAAAAGTTTCATATTGGTCCCTTAACTCTTCAAACGTTCCATATTAGTCATTTTTGACCTATTAACGACGGAAAAAAATCAAAAAACCGTCGCTAAATCCGTCGCTAACAGGTCAAAAAGGACTAATATGGAACATTTGAAGAGTTAAGGGACCAATATGAAACTTTTTAAAGTTAAGGGATTAAAATGAACCCCAAGGTATAGTTAAGGGACAAAAAGGATATTTTGCCTATTTATAAATTATAATTTAAGTATTTATTTTAATTTATATTAGGATAAAGTAAATTATGAACGTTTCTTTTATAGTTTGAAAATTTTCTATGCATTTATTTTATATATTTTTTAAAATATTCTTTTTAGACTTACTTTTTAAGTCCCAAAGTTGAAAGGTGTGTCGCCATTTTGAACCTAACATATCAATTAGAATGTATTTGAACTTTTTTTTTCTGACGCAGAGTGTACTTGGACTTGAACACCAGTCAAATACAAAAACAGTCACTCATATTTATGAGATGGACATTAAACACCAACCAAGCACAACAACATTTTATTTATTAATTTAAAAAATTATTAAACTTTTTCTTTAAAATAGATGATAATATTATTTACACATAAATAAAAAATAAATTATGATCAATTGTTTTCAAAAATATGTTACGTTTATTTTTATACAAATATTTGTGCAAAAGGAGTAGGTAATTGAAAATTGTGAACAAAATTAAAATAAAAATATACAGTATTTAAGAATGAGATGAGCTAAAAAAAAAGTTATAATAAAATATATGGAAGTTAATTTTAAAAAGGATATGAATTATGCGATAAAGTTTGATATTTTGTTGGCGTTTGAAGGAAAAAAAAAATGGTTAAATATTTAAAAGTGAAAAATATAAAAATAGAATAAAATATCCTTGTAAGTGAGAGGACACAACACAATGGTTAAAAATGGCGACATAATCCCAATAGTTTGAATGACAAAGGAAACTCTGACAATTATTTAAAGCGTGCAACAAACGAAACATGTTGTCACATTTCGTTCCTCGTTTTTACACACTGCCCGCATTATCATCATATTCATTCAAATCTCATTCTTGTTCTACATTCCTCAACACCACAACAAGAAGAAGAACAATGGGTTCACTTTCTGTCTTTGAACAAACCATTCAATATCCTATTGCTCGCAGAGATGACTCTGTTGTTGACAACTATCACGGCGTTAACATTCCCGACCCATACCGGTGGCTTGAAAATCCTGATGCAGAACAAGTCAAAGAGTTTGTACAGAAACAGGTTGGTTTAACGGATTCAGTGTTGAAGACAATCGATGTTAGAGCTAAACTTGGTGATACAATCAAAAAGGTCTATGATCATCCTCGTTACAGTGCTCCTTTTAAAAGAGCTGATAAGTACTTTTACTTCCACAATACTGGTCTTCAATCTCAGAGTGTCCTCTATGTTCAGGTTACCTTTCACTTTCACATTTTTTATTGCTGCCAAAAAAGTCATGTAGAAACATATTTATGAATTCATGTATATTAATTTCAGGATAGTTTGGAGGGTGAAGCTGAGGCTTTGCTTGATCCCAATCTTCTCAGTGAAGATGGCACCGTTTCACTTAACAGCTTCTCGGTTAGCAAAGATGCTAAGTTTTTGGCTTATGGACTCAGTTCCAGTGGTAGTGATTGGGCTACTATAAAGGTCATGCGTGTTCATAACAAGCTTGTTCAACCTGATACTTTGTCCTGGGTGAGTAATAATAACAATATCTCATACTGTTTTAATAATGATAATAATGAATCATGATTGATTCATTGTGTTTCAATTTCATTCAGGTAAAGTTTTCTTCTACTAGTTGGACACATGATAGCAAAGGTTTCTTTTACAGCCGCTATCCGGCTCCAACAATCAAGTAAGTCATTTCTGTCCAATTCTTATTCTGTTTTGCAATGTGCTTCTGATTATGGCAGGAAGGACTAGGATTAGTTTTGTGTTTTCTTGATTTAGTGTTTTGCTAATTTACAATGTAGGGATGGAGATGTAGTAGATGCTGGGACTGAGACTGATACTAACCTTTATCATGAGCTATATTATCATTTTCTCGGTACGGATCAATCACAAGATATTCTCTGCTGGAGAGATCCTCAAAACCCTAGATATATGTTTGATGGAACTGTCACTGATGACGGAAAGGTACCATTGTTTCCTCCTTGCTTCTTTATTTACTCGCATGATTTGATTTTCCTTGGACGGGTGCATTAGTGTGACCAAGCATGCAAATCTTTTTATGAATATGACTTCAAATTTCCTAAGAAACTAACTGTTTTATTTGATTTTGCAGTATGTTATGCTCATTATTGGAGAGGGGTGTGATCCAGTCAATAAAATATATTACTTCAACTTGTCCGAACTTCCTAATGGTTTGGAAGGTTTTCGAAATGAAAAAACCTTCCTCCCTTTTGTCAAGCTTGTTGATAACTTCGATGCAAGTTATGAACTTGTTGCAAATGATGACACTGTGTTTACATTTTTAACTAACAAAGATGCTCCAAAATATAAACTAGTCAGGGTAGATTTGAAAGAACCAAATGCTTGGACTGATGTTATCCCAGAATCTGAGACGGATGTACTCAAATCAGCATTTGCTGTAAACGGTAACCAACTGATAGTGAGCTACTTGAGTGATGTGAAATATGTTTTGCAAGTAAGAGACTTAGAGACAGGTTCCCTGCAGCATCAAATACCAATTGACATAGGAACAGTTAGTGAAATTTCTGCACAGCGTCAAGATAGTGTGGTTTTCATTGGCTTTTCAAGCTTTTTGA